GGGGAACTCCTTTTTTTTTTTTTTTTTTTTTTGGGCTATTCGGCATGGTATTATATTGACTTGTATTTTGGTTTAAACTACGGCTCAACTTAAACTTATCATGATACTTGGTCCGTAGTCGTTAGACTCTTCTTTTATTTTTTCTTTTCTCTCTTCTTTAGGTTGCGATGTTTTGTTTTTATTTTTTTAAGTTTCTTTGGTGTTCCTTGTACTTTTGAGACTCTAGTGTTTCTTACTTAGCAGCTGTCATATATGTATTATTTTTTCAATTTGATTTAACTTTTGACAATATTTAATACAACTATGACGGTTAATGAGCAGCGAACATCGATGTTCTTAAAAAAGAGGGAGCATTAAGAAGGAACACCAGAGAAAGTCTTTTTTCTTTTGTCTGGGTGGTGGGAATTCTACCTCAAGGTTAATATTGAGATGATGGGAATAAGATTAATATTGAGATGATGTGAAAAGTAGGTAAAATTACCACTTATAAAAGTCCAGTTATTGACCCATGAGCTCGAATCTTTCTCCATTTTTTTTTAAAAAAAAGCTCAAATCTTTCTATTATAGTTTCGTATTGAATATTAACCCCCTAAAAATGATATTCTGTTTTTTTTTTTTTTTTCCTTTTTTGGCTCTGGATGATATTCCTCTGATTCATTCGGAATTAGTACACTTTGCCAAGTCTGCTTTAGAGAAATGCCACTGAAACTGGGTTTTGAATTTGCATTTATTTTTTCCATGTAAAAAAAGTTCTTGCACAAAATGCGACACCAACAGATTAGAATACCACCAGATATACTCCTAATTGAATCATAGGAAGATGCGAGTAGTAGCCGCCGGTGAACACCGGGATACTTTCGTTAGGATCATGAGATGTAAATTGACATTGAGAAACAAACACCTTAATACTTGTTTCTATTTCTATGAGATGTAAAGACTTAGACGTAATTAATAGGATTTTGTTTTTAAAAATAATCTATTTAACACTACTAACTTCAATTTTATTAAGTAATTAGTTAAGAATTTCCTAATAATAAGGTGGCTTGGCTTGTGGTTGCCTTATCGGTCTTTTCTTACCCTACATACCCAAATATCTCCCTTAACAATAAGCCCAAATATAAGCGAGTACAGGCTATTATGTACCTTCCACTTTTAACTGTCAATAACTGTTTTTTTCCCACCTCCCCAGGTTGGTCTTTGAGACCAACACAGGAGGAGGAACAACTCAGCAATTCATCCCATGGCCCTTCGTCTTCCTTAAAGACTCAATTCTGTTCAAACCCCATCCTCCTGTGGTGCCAACAACATGGCGAAGGCAGTGGTCTATGTCCTTCTAGCCGCTGCCTTCTTCATCCTCCTCGTCTTGGGCCCCTCCAACAGCCGTCACCGCGGGCATC